TAAATAAATATTATAATTTTGTCACCATTAATGTTACAAAAAACTTCAGCTTTTGAATTCAGAAATTATGGAAAATATTGGAAAAAATAAAAATCAGTGACATGTTGTCTCATTCAGAAAGTTGCAATTCCTCCTCTTCGACAGTTTTAAATCCACTAATCTAAAAACAAAATCCAAACTTGCCGTGTACTTTGAAAAATTAAATTTTTCCAGTTCAGAAGACGTCTCTCTTTGAGGTATTCGATGTTATAAGATGATTGATAAAGAGTTGCAAACGTATCGCGCGTATCAGCGTTACCTTCGGACTCTGCTCACTATCTGTGGCTGTTGGTACATGCCCACAAAATCCGGCAAGTGCATGCATTTCTGGGGAGTTGGTGTGCTCTTGGTGATAATCTCTTATGCGATTCTGAATTTGCATATGTGCTATATCCACAGACATAATTTGACAATTATGATGAAATGTGTCGGCGTAACAATAACTTCATTTAGCGCCATTCTCAAGGTACGAACCAGGAGGATCTTGCATTTTATTAAGTAGAAAAGCAAGATCAGAATAATATTTTACACGTTTTATAAATATTAATATTTTACAATAAGAAATATTTTAGTATACTAATATATACATGTATAATTGATATATTTGCTCGTTAAATTTCGATGACTAAATGGACTGCATTAAGATCGTTCTACATTAGACGCAATCAGCCAATCGCATGAACGCAAGCAGTACCACTTCCGGACCCATATAGCGATTGCAAGATTTGATCAAGTCCAAAATTTGCTTCTCTGCCATCATCTTCTTGAATGTTCGCGTCCAGAGATTTATTTTTATTCCATTTTAAATCACTTATTATTAAAATAAAATTTTCTAACTTATAAATATCTTTACGGGTTACAATAAAACACGAAACAAATGAGCAACCCAAATAGACAATGGAGCTCGATGCCACGACAACGAAACTCGATGCTCATATTGTCTGTCACATATCGCAGAAACGCAAATTTTAGATTTGATCAAACCTTGTGATTGCTATTTGCGACTACGTTACAACCAGAAGTAGTACTGCTTGCGAAAAAAGCAATACTACTTACTTGTACTACTAGCAGTTCTGCTTGCTTAGAACATGTTGATAACAACATTTTTGCAACAAATATCTAACTTTGATTGGCTGTGACTTACGACTGCAGTGTAAAAACTCCAATTGCAAGCCTCTTGCGACTTACGACAATATGTGGATTGCTTGCGACTAATGTAAAACGACCTTTAGATGCTTCAATTAATTCTGAAAATAAATTCTTCTCTACATGTATTATAATATACGTATATTAACATTCGTTAAAAGATCAACCGGATATGTCGTCGAACTAAAGCGAACTTAACAACGTAAACTTCGCAACAAAAATAATATACGATTTATACAAGATATTTTTTAGTAAATAAATTGAAAAAATATATTTAATGCGATATCAATTCGACAGATTAAAAGTCGTAGTATCAAACGTGCCACGTCTGTCTCTGTGCAACTTCTTTGTCTCGCGTGGTAAAAAAAATATGTTTCTGGTATTCTTTAAGATTGGAACTTTCCTACACAATCGGGAGTCTCTGATAAATTATCACCGGACGCTAAATGATATTTTCGAGGAGGAACTTCTACGGGATGAGAAAATCCGAACGATAATGTTTTCATCCCTGCCCACAATATACACCCTGACATACACATATTCTGCCATTGTGATAACAGTGTTGTTGGCGTATTTTATACCTCCTTATTTAGCCATAATCCATGGCCTCTGTCTTTCCCAATCAACTACGGAATACAGCCTACCAATCACTAAAGGATACGGATACTTCTGGACCGTTCCGCACAACTATTTGTATCATTTTCATCTGCTTTTCGAGACGGGCGGAGTGTCAATCAACAGCATCACAGCTTGCGGCATTGACAGCATCTTTGGCTTCTATGTCTACCAGTTCGCTTCAATAATGCACGCCATGACCTTTAGGCTCACGAATTCTTTGCCCACCGAGAGCTTCTCAGACGTCCTAAAGTTATGCGTGGCAAAACACCAGAAACTACTGCCATGCCGCCATACGTTGGAGCACATCTACGGACCCATTGTCTTTTGGCACATTGTCACCAACGCCGTGCTTCTTTGCGCATTGATATACGATGCGATGTCAGTACGTGGATACATGCATTACGCGTGTAATATTATTTACACATGTCCAATATTATTACATGACGCAAATGTTTCATGATATAATACTAATTGTTAAACATTTACAACAGTTTTCGGACTTTAATATTTTCAACATAGGCGTATCTGTGACTTACGCTACAATAAAATTGCTCCAAACGTTTACGTATGCATGGTATGGAACACTCCTCACAAATGCGGTAAGTTTTAATGATTTACTAAAACAATTATAATAACTCAAAATAATTTCTCATATATGTATATACTAACTAACTATATCTATATGTTTAGAGCGAAGACTTTCGTAAAGGAATATATTTTGGCGAGTGGCCTAATTCTAATCTGGATCATCATGTGAGAACGAACGTCATTCTAATGATGATGCAAAAACCAATGACGATAAACGCATTTTTCTCTCTCGTTGACATGAACATGTTCACCAATGTAAGTATTGAAATCCTAATCGATTGAGTAAATCTTTGTAGAACCTTATGATGTCGACGGAATTATTTCGAACTTTATAGCGCTATCGCTTTAAAGTTATATTTATATTTCATTTTTACGAAAACCGAAGATTCAAAACTTAAGACTGAGTACGCACAAAATGTGATTACGACACTTTTGAACAAATAAATGAAAATATTTTGCATTGATTCTATTATTTTTCTAATTTCTCTAAACATTGTAAAATATATACAGGACAAATAAAGATAAAAGATAAATATAAACAATTAAGAGATTTTAGTTACTGTTTGGAAAAGTTTCTACATGTACATCAATTAAGAACATTTACTATTATGTACTTTTCACATATTAAACTAATTTTAATCGTTTTATTTTTATTTGTAGTTCGTTAATACTACAGTGTCCTATTTCTTCCTGTTGCAATCTATCAGTGATAAAGGCAAATAATGATAAATGCTACGTATGTTTTGTATGGCAAACTTGTAAAATTATTACGCTGTTAACAAATTATTATAATTAAGAAAATACAATCAATTCATTGCTAATATTATTAACAGCTCTTATTATTCCACTATTAACGCTCAATTTATATTAAAATAATAACATATTATAACTTCACTATAGTCGTTGTATTTCACCTTGTATTTATCTCAAATGACAGTCACTACTCGAGATGGTACTAAGCAGAAGTTTAGCAGGTAAACTTTTAGAAATGCATGGAGCAACCCGAATTCTTCACCAACGCGTGTGTTTGATATGGTCCTCAAGTCGCGCACTGACCTACCAAAAACGTACAAGGAAAATATGTCGATATATCGTAGACATGCAAGCGAGAGAAGTATCGAACGTAAGTGACTGAACGGGACCCTCCAGACGTCTGCTTATACCCCTCAGGTTATCAAAGCTCGAAGTATAAACACTGCTAACGTGCTTATAGCTATCAATGGTTCGACGGAAAAAACAGACAATTCTTTGTGTCACAAGTAAAGAGAATCATAAATCTGCCTGCCTCAATTAAGTAAAAAAAATATACCGCTAATCTAGATGCTACATCAAATGTGACTCGCAACTTATAATTCCCCGAAAAATTTTACCGTTCTCTTTGAAATGCAATTTCTCTTATGTCTCTAATTTACCTACAGCCACAACAAACTTGTATTATAGCCCATTTCGACCAAACCATTAAATGACATTTTAAATTATCTATTAACTTTCCAAAGCCTCGATAGACGA